CTGGTGCCTCAGGGACGCTGTCCTCATGGGCCTGCTGGTCACTGCCCACCCGGGGGACAGCAGGCATGTGCTGCCGAGGCAGAGACTCACCCTGGTCACCACTGTGCACCTGGACTGTCACGAGGCAGTCGAGGAGCACAGCCATGGTCAGAGGAGCCATCTGTGGGGCAGCATTAGAAAGGTCCCAGAAACCAGTCAGGACCTTCCTGGGGAAATCTTGCTTGAACTCCAACAGCAATGACCATGAGGCCTTGCCAACCTCACTGTGGAATTTGCAATAAGCACCCCCCCACTTGCCTTAACCTGCTTATAGGCATGCAAGCCACCCATATGCCACGTGTGATTTCAGCAGGATCCAGTTACCATCTTTTGTGTAACGTCTCACTGGAAGGCCACACAGAGCATGAACCGTCGACTGCGCCTGGTTCTCCAAAAACCACGGAGCCAAGTGCAGCGGGCACCTCTTCCAGTGAGCTCCCACAGTCTGTCCCATGCCACAGGGTGACGCGTGTGGCCGCAGAGGCAGGGCAGCATCACTGTCTGGCATCTGACTGGTGCTGCAGAACCTCGCAGTGGCCTCATTCAGCGCATCTCCCGCCTTCACCTACTGATTTCCGGTTTCGCCTTGCTGTACTACAGCCAGAAAAGATACTTGGGAGGAGCCCCATTTGTCAGGACTTGCTCTGTGACTTGACGTGTGATTGATCCATCCTGTGGAAGAGCGTGTGTCTTTTGCTGCTGGTGGAAGGTTCTGTGTTAGGTCCCTTTGCTCTTAAGGCTATTCAGATCTGTTGTTTATGGATTTTTCTACCTGCATGATCTGTCCACTCCACCTTCTTTCAGATTTGTCAATGTTTGCTATATATATTTACATGCCTGAACATTGGGTATATTTATAATTGTCCTATCTTCCTGTTGAATTGACCCTTTTATCATTCTATAATGACCTTCTTTGTCTCTCATAACAATTTTGGACTTAAAGTCTATTCTTTTCTAATTTAACTGCTTATTTTCTTATTTCAGAGACCTTTCTAATGCTGTCCCCACAGATGGCTCCTCCTGCCCATTAAATATGGATTATAATAATAGATTTAAGAAAAAGAATCTGTACCCAGATTTTAAAAACTAACTTGAATGTAGCACTTATTTACCTGAGAAAATGGAATATTAAAAGTATACAACTAAAGATTAAAATTCAAGCATATGCATGCATATGCATGCATAGCACTGTAAGTCCTGTGTCATTAAAACCACATTAATTCACTAGACCTTACATAAGAACTAAAAAAGTAAATTATATGCGCATTATCCATATATACATCTACATGTATCTATGTTTATATGTGCATTTGCATATGTATCTATTACATCATACGTATTATTGATTTACATACTGACTTTCTAGATCATTAGACAAAGTGCCCAAGACAATATCTGATTTGATGCTTACACACTAAACACTACTATGTCTTAAATGATCACCCTCAGTTAGATGATAGGTTATTTGAAGCCATTAACTCAGGAATACTTGAAAGAGCAAACAATAAAGCATCTACCTTCCCCAAATAAAGGATCCAAATAAATGAGAAAGAGAAAATAGGGACCATCGCCTGGAGACCACTCCAAGAGGATCACTATTTCTGAGGACAGAAGAGCATCAAAGAAAGCCCAGGAACAAGGAGAGATTTAGGAACCCCTGTGCTTCCAGGATAGAGCAGGAAGTGACCCAGCAGTGGCGAAGTGAGGTGAGACCAGGGCTCTACGCCCTCATTCTGAAGTGACTATGCTACCTGAAGAACCCTGGGTGGAGGAGAAGCCCACAGGTGGCCCATGCTTGACACCAGGAGCTGGTAGAAGGAGAGATGTGAGGCTGCCCCAGCGGCCTGCCTGGAGCAGCCCTGAGGGAGACTGAGGGGCTCTCCATGGAAGGGGCAAGGGACATGGGGGTCGTGTCAGCCAGCCAGCGGCCTCGGCCACGCTTCCCCGAGCCCTGTCCACTTAGGCAAACACGCACCGCAGGGTGCCAGCACCACAGAACTGGTCTCACCGATCTCGCTCCGAGAAACCTGCAGCTAGATTTTATAGAGTATCTTTTAAAATTTATACAGGTTAGCCATCAATTTTCTCAAAAAATATACAACTGCTACATAAACAATCCTATAATCCCTTAGGAAAGGCCTCCTCTACTGCCTCCCTTTCTTCCAATTTCATGTTAAAGAATCCACACAATTTTAGCAAAGGCCAGATTCAGGGTCTGACTCTCTTTGGAGTGATGAGGACCTGGGGAAATGCCCTCCACAGTGAGGGCCCTAAATATTCCTCCCTCTCTCAAAGCTGCCAGGATCCACCACAGGGCTCTGTGCCCCTTGGGGACCTAGAGACCCCGACCACATCTGCAGGTGGCAGGTGAGCTCAGGTCAGGGACAGGCTCTGGGGACATGCCTGTCTAAACCAAGATCGACCACAAGGAGGCTGTGACCCAAGGCCAGTACCTTCACCCCTGAAGTCTGAGTTTTCTCATCACTAAAAAGAAACACTGGCTAGGAATATAGTTTAGTGGCATAAGCACCTGCCTGGCAAGCGAAAGGTCATGAGCTCAATCCCTGGTACAAAACAAAAAAATAATAATAAAAGGAAACACTGTTCCAGGTGGAGCAGTGCCAACCTGAAAATACAAAATGCTCCAAAATATGAAATTTTTTATGTCAATATGACACCCCAAGTGAAAAATTCCCCATGGTTTACTTCACGTACAACATTACTTAAAATACTATATAAAATTACCTTTGGGTTAGGTACATAAAGTATATATAAAACATAAATGAATTTTGGGTTTAAACTTGAGTCTCATCCCTGAGATATCTCATTACGCATATACAAACTGTCCAAAATCAGAAAAGATCCCAAACTGTCTGGTTCTAAATGTTTCACAGGAAGGGTGCCCACCCACCCTGTAGTAGCGCCCTGCGATAGCGACACCTATGCACAGACTCAGGATGGAGAGCTGGTAGCTGTAGTCAGCAGTAGGCAAATCCATGCCCTGAAGAGCACTCTTCATAACTCCGCTGCTATCTGGAGGCAAACATGAATGACAGGTGGTATGGCAGGCAGCGTTGTGGACATTATAATTTGAAACCTTCTAAATTAATTAGATCTGTAGCTTACCTGTGAGCTTTACAATGACTTGCCTTTGTCATAACACAGGAAAAAGTCACATATCGAAGGCCAGACTAACAAGAACCACAGCAAATATATTATGCAGGAATATTTGGAAATCAGATTTCAGGCAAAATACAAAGATAGAAAATGTCCCAGCAACCACATATGTATTGTTATTTTAAAAATAAGTATCATTTTAATAGTAAGTAATAATTAAAAGTGGCTTGATTCTAGTCAGAGTGTCTAGGAAATATCTTGCTGGAAAGTCAAATTCAAAATGTCATCATGAAACATTTTAGTAAATAATGAGTAAAAAGGGCAGCTGGTAACATTCAGACAGAAATGATCCCTATTCAGTCATTAGTCCTGCAACAGACTTTCACACCCTTGGTCAACGCATTGCAGCCCTGTTCTACTGCCAAGTGTTTAAGGTCTGGCTCTAGAGGGAAGAAGTCCTCGTCTGTCAGCTGCCACTGTGGAAATCCTTCCCATGGCCCATTTCAACTAACAACAGCTCTCCACAGCCAGTGCTGGCCAGGGCCACCACGCCTCCCAGGTGTGAAGTTAGTATGCGTGATGGCTCAGATCTGCAGCCAGAATCACAGGGAACAGAGACTGAGACGGAGATCATCACAGCAACGGGCCAGCAGAGCTACCCAGTGAGACCTTGCTTCAAACTCAGGATAGGTAAGTACCACACAGATTGGTGGGAGTTGACTGAAGGAAACGTACAAAGCCGATGGCACAGATATCACTCAGGCTGTTTTGCCCTTTTCACTGCCACCCTCTGAGAACTGATCTTTCCTGTGCATGGTGGCAGCCCATGCCCAGCCCTGGAGTCACCTCCTTCCAGTAGCCACGCTGTCTCTGGAGACACATGTGGATGTCCTCAGGCTGCAGGGCTCTCAGGTTCTCTCTGTATCTGTTCAACTTTATCCACCAAGGAATAATGGTGCTCTCCCCTAATCTTCCTCATAAAACTTCTGCCATCTCCCTTTTATCTGCAAGCCCTAACCGACGCTGCCTCTCAGGCTAAATGAGGAGTTAGTTATCCATTTAACAATTTGTTCACATGCTTTTTCATTTGGAATCAGAAGAACTAAGGTTTTAGGAATATCATTTGGAAGACTGCAGGAAAATCAAAACAAACTCTGTCACTCCTAGGTCTGAAGTGCAGGCCACCTCTACATTATTTCATAGCAGACTCCCCTGACTCACCAAAGCAAAGAGTGCTCTAAAAGGTAGAGCTTATAAATGAAAATCAACTTCACTACCTATTTCTCCATTCATTCAGAATGCTGCACTTTGAAGCTCCTTAACTGCCACAAGATAAGTTGTTGGATGTGATATTCAGCAACTGTACAAATGAACACTCTGCAGGTTTCACTTTTTAAACATTACTTCAAGGTATTTCTATAATTAAAAAATAAAAAGAAAGAAACCCACTATGAGATGAGCATCACGGGTAGCTGGTGGCAAAGGCAGCAAAGCAATGAGCACGTACTTGGTACCACTGCACAGCACACTGCAAAGTTAAGACATCAAACTCGAGCAGTGCTCGTTTCACACAATTAATAGAAGTTTTAATTTAAAAGAAGCCATTGAAGAGAAATTTCTCCACTCTGCCCTCTATCATTTCAAACACAAGAAAAAACAGATTTTTTTAACACCATCCTTGTATTATTGCCCAGACTTCAGACACAGGGACGCGAGGTACTGAGGAAGCGGCATGGAATCATCAATAGACATGCTCACTCTTGCAGGATTCTCCTGTTCACAGGGCTATTACAAGAGCATTATAGTGTAATCGGGAAACGGGTGGTCAGAAAGTGGAGACGTACTGCACTCCTTTCCTCTCACGGGGTCAGGCAGGCCGGAGCAGTCCACGGCAGAGTTGGGGATGGCAACCCTCCACCTGGAGCCGCTGCTGTCGCACTCCGTGTACTCAAAGTGGTAATCTTTCTGCAAACAACCACAGAAACAAGTTCTGTTAGAGTCGGTTCCATGGCACAACCCTGTGGTCCCCGTCCCTCCCCAGGCCTGCAGCCTGGTCCCTGTGACCCTCACCCCAGTCCCACCCGACCTGCCCAGCAGTCACTGATCAAAACTGCACCAGGCCAGGCACAAAGGATACACCAAGGACTTGAGAGGAAAGAATGGCCAAAGCTCTCAGGCTGCGAGCATTGCGCCTCAGTGCCACCTGCCCACAGGGGCCACAGCACCCCTCCCTGTCTGTCGTAGGTTTCAAAAGCTCTAAGTAATTGACAGAGTTGAAGAAAGAGCAAAATAACACTAGGAAACTGACTGCTGTCACTACCCCTCGTGTCTCAAAGATGAGAACCATTTCCACCGACCTAATTCTCACTATTTAAAACGCAACAGAAGGTGTGATGACTAATTATTCAACTACTAAAGAGGAAAAGGGTTTAAAGCAGCTCTCCCAGAGTCAATTCACACCCACCACAGCTGTCTGCCATCGGTCACAGGTGATTAAAACAGCCCACTTATTACAACTGCCAAATTAAGATTAGTCTACTAATCTCTGGCCTTTGGGCTGTGAAGTTCTCACAGTCACCTCCTCCGGTCACAATACATTACATCTGAGCAATAATGAACTGAGAGGAACCAAGGCAAAATGTTGTAGAGCATTTCAAAAATGAGGGAAATTCCATGTCTACCCAAAGCTACTTTCAGCTCTACCACCCACTTACTTCATCCAACGCCCCGTATGTTGTAGTCTGATTTGCCCACGTGGTTCGGCCTCCCTCACCGTGCTCACGGCACCTGACAGCAGAGGCATCAAGTGTACTAGCACGGGAAATTTGGCACCGAAAGGCCACTACTCTGGCCCTTTTCCTGCAGCACACTCTTCTAACAACAAATCTAACATCGTTTTCAATCTGCTTAAACTGAGTTTCCCAAATCATCAGCCTGAGGTTGCTTTCTGTGTAACGGTTCTTCCCTTTATCTCTCTTTCTCCTCATTTTTACTACAAGCAGTAAGCAGAAATTAGGCCACACCTTCAACAGTTTGTTAGAAAAGCACCTCAGCTTAATACCTAAGTTCACCACCGGTCAGTTCTGCCTTCCACACTAACACACTACACAGTTCTGCTAAGCTTCCTGCCACTGTGGAACAAGGGTCGCCTTTCTCCAATTTCCAACGCAGAGTCCCTCATGTCCTGCTGAGCCCTCACTAATGCAAAACCAGTAGCTATCCAGGAAATAATAATCAGCTGTATTTCAAAAGAGGAAATGCATTTTCACTTCTGTGCACAAGAAATGTTCGTATTATTATCAGTTATCTACAACTCACAGTGTTGTAAAATTGTGCAGAGAAAAAGAAAGGTACAGGCCTCCACAGAAACTGATTGCCCCAAAGGTGCACTAAATAGAACACCCAGTAACCTTTTCTGCCTATTTCAATGTGTTTCACCACTCTGCCCAACAAGGGGAAAATACCTGACAATTATTCCTACTCTCCAGGGTTCTCAAAGCTGATCACCAAACACACTGACATGAGTCCGAGTGTACTGCACATCAGAGCATCAGCTCACAAGCCCAGCTCTTCAAGTTACAAACTGGAAGAAGTACATGGGTTCCCTCCAACTCAAGGGATGGACATTAGTTGTGGTGAATAAGGCAGTGTCAACTGTACCGACTTTGGGATCCACCAAGGGGGTGGGTGGAGCACATGTCTGGATGTGTTGTGGAGTCACGACTGTGACCCTGGGATCCATATCTGGTCCCTCACCTTTTCTTTCTGGAACTGCACCCTCACTCTGCTTCCTGGCCACCATGAACTAAGCACCTTTGCTCTACCATGTCCTCTCACTATGTTTATGCCTTAAAGCAGCGGACCATGGACTGAACCCACTGGAGACTGCTAGCCAAAACTCTCCTCCTTTAAGTAGTAAGTGCTGGGTATTATGTCTAAGGAAGGGTAAAGTTCACTAATACAGAAAATTGGTATCCTCATTGGGGTCACTGTATCTGACCATGCAATTTAAAATCTTTGGAAATGGTTTACAGTCTTAGTGTGGCAAGGTTTAAAGACACAAGCTAGAGAACCCTAGAATAGTATAACAGAGGCTATTAGGTGGTTTTAGTTGGAATTTAGCAGGCCAGAATATTGATAGTAATGCAGGTAACAAAGGCCAGGTTGAGATGGTTTCAACTGTAAAAAGAAGGATTCCACTGGCAGCTGGACTCCAGAACACATGTGACACTATGGGGAAAAAAAAGTCTACAGGCATTCCCCATATCTTGACATTTGCAGGAAGATTGAGATTAAGGACAATGGACTAATTAATCAGCTGGAGGAAGTTTCAAGACAGACCCACATTTAGGCTGTGGCATGGGTACTGCTGGCTGCTTTTAGCCAGATTTAGAGTGAGAATCGTAAAAACAGCGCAGAAAAGTGTGGAAAAAACTTAAATTTGGCTCAGAAAGAACCATATATAAAGTTGTAGCCAAAGGAGTTGTGCCTGCTGAAGATATTTTTCCATTAAAAAGAAATAATTACTTTGTACATGGATAAGAAGACATTTTGGGGCAGCTTTGGACTCAGCAAGACTCCACCTATTGTAGGCTCAAGGGTGGAAAAGTGTAAACCTTTCATTTGAGAAGACGGTCCCTGGGCCTTGTCCCCTACACAGTAAGGGCCTCATCAGGAACTGGTTTCCCAGGACTCACCTCTCTGGGCTGAGCACTCAGAGGCTGCTGTACCCACGGCCCAAGAGTCCTGGCTACTGCTCCCCAACAGCAGCCCTTTACATCACCCACACCATGCTGGTCTCACTGGCATACAGAATGTTTGAGTGACAAGTTGTATGTATGCGATGATTAAGGGAAATATCAAATCAATCGGCCTTGGGATCCACCCAAGAGATTAGCAGCATACATTCCCAGGTTTGTGGGACAGGTCATGAGGGCATGGCCTTGGGGTCTGTCCTGGTTCCTGATTCCTTTCTCTCTGGTGCTACTACTCTGCTCTGCTTCCTGGCTACTATGAACTATATAGCTTCATCCTACCATACCCTTCTGCCATGCTTTTCCTGCCTTGGAGCCGCTGGCCAGGTACTGTACTAATTCTCTGAAATCATGAGCTAAATTAAACCTTTTCTCTGTTAAGTGGTAGGTGTTAGGTATTGTGTGCCAAAAACAAAAAAGTTAAAGATGGTTGCAAATCACAATCCTGGAGCATGGAGACAGTGTCCCAAATAAGGAAACAATACCACTCCCTGTCAATCTTATACTGTAAACATGTGGGAACCAGGACACAACTCAAAAGGAAATAGAGCATGGAATTACTCCAGATCACAAACACTTACAGGAAAAATATCTTTCCGCAGAAACCATGGCATTCCACACACATGAACTTACACTCAACATACATTCACAAATCAAGGTACAAGCACAGCCTCTCAGCTTATATCTGAAGGACAATATGTCAGCATTCACCCAAATAAATATTGGATGCCTATAGCACCCCCAGAACATCAAAGTCACCTAAAGAGTCCCATGGTTCTCACTGTAAATCTTGGCATATCATTTCCTAGATCTAACAACAATATTTCTAGTTTGTACATATGCTAGACAATGTTTCAAATATTCACATATTGGCAATATACATATATATTTCTTTTATGTACACATTGTGTAAAATTTCTGTTACTGTAATGAAATATGTGGTATAATTAACTTATAAAGAGACAGGTTAATTTGGGCTCTCACTTCTGAAATTCCACTCCAGTCACAATGGTGGGACTTCCTGGTAAGCAGAGCTGCTAGCTCATTAGCCGGGAAGCAAAAGAGAAAAAGGAAAGGGCCAGGGACCACTATTTCCTTCTGGGGCACAGCTCCAAGGAAGGAGGACCTAAGGCCTCCCCCTGACCTAATTTCTAAAGGGCCCCCAGCTTCCAACAAGGTCACTCTGAAAACCATGCTGGTAAGGGCCTCTGAGGCATGTTAAAGATCCAAACTCTACCAGACATTAACATGTGCGACCTTAGCTATAATGATTTACATGTATATCAATGTCCCTTTATATAGTAATTTAGATTCTTCCTTGTTACCTGGAAATTATTAAGTACTGTGGCCTAAAGGCTATGGAGGACATTTAAAATAATGTGCAGTCCCTATACACAATAAGCTTTGATCTTGTTCAACTAGACCAGATATACATATAAACACACATATGACATAATTTTTTTTAAGAAAGCATAAAGATGGTCTCCAAAATGGAACAGCACTACCACAAGTCATCATAGAAGCAAAAACTCTATTGGGTCAAAATTACCAGCATGAATCCCTTAATTCTCCCATAAGGTAAAACGTTCCCCAATATTCAATAAACTTGGTACAGCCAATTTTTCCTTAGGCACTCTATTAAACACCTATGTCTTAGCACTTAAAAGATTCACATTTTAGGAACCAACTTTTCTAGCATAATAAGGTTCTTTAAACATTTAAAACCACCTCTGGCAGCATATGTGTGGCTGAGTATGCAGAATGTGACTCCACGCATTATGATTTCAGAGTCAGGAAAAAATCTGTATGGGCTGGGAGAAGCTGGAAAGGCAATGGGGAGAACCCTGAAAGTCAGGTGAGGTTTGGAACGACTCTACTGCTTCCAGTCCCTTCATAAAGAGCCAGTTTGGAAGGGTGTCAGATCAAGCCTGAGGATGACATGCACAAAGTCATGCAGTGAAATCTGTCAGCCTATAGATGGATAAATAGCAAGTAAGTGGCACAAGTGAATGAACAAAGTTCCTTGATCTTCTGTATGGTGTGATTTGCTCATATCAGTGAGCCACCAATGAGAAAAATCAATGCTGAGGCTCCCGGTATGTCCTCAGCCAGCAATTAAAAGCTGACCATTGTGGATCACAAAGATACAGCAGAGGACCACACATTCTCCTGCACAATTAAAAAGGGGGGAAACAGACAGCCTCTGCCTTC